TCAGGCGACGAAATGTAATGCATTGTAAATTAAAGGCACATAAATACGCATACATATATATAATTAAATACGAGTATATTTTATGTGTAATTTAAAATAAATCTCTAGTTGGGTTTGTGCTAAACACGACTCGCCTTTAGAGTTATTGCGTTGAAAATATTTACAGCTGTTAATTCACTAAAGATGAAAGCCATTCAGGGAGAGAATTATTCGAAACTCTTCTTAACAAATTATACTATTAATTCACAAAGATTTGGCTGCTGATTTTGGCCGATTGCTAGAACTCGACGCAGAAACTTACGCAGTTTGGTTACCAGTTTTAGTTGGATATCAGCAGTCGCCCTACTTTGAGGATAAAATATTTGGAAAGCCGATCAACTAGAAAATATTTCTTCCTTGCCTTAAGACTTTAATATAAGAATAATCTGGATAATCTGAAAACTTTGGATAATATAAAATATTTTTGAATAGATTGCTTAGCGAAACGATGCCCAACTTCAGTTTAATCAAGTTTTAAACAAAATTTTTCGGAATAAAGCGATGCCCAAACATTTTCCGTAGGTTAACTTAAGCTTTCCACCACCAAATTTTCTAAAAGTTAAGTAAATTTAACAATAAATACCAAACGATACCGATTTCTTATCGACTTTCGCAAAAGGAAAGTTTCACTCGACCATCTGGGAATCCTTTGAAAAATTCACACAACATTTTCAATCAAATTGTACCAACCGTTTAGAAGTTACACTGTTTAGAGTTACATGGTGTACTTAGAAAAATTATAATAATCTAGTAAAAAGTTATCCATTCAATTGAAGGTTTTTTGCCAAATATTCACCATTTTGCTCAATATCCTTTTGTCATTATGCCACTCTCACAGAAATCCTTGGACCCAAGCATAAAATTGTGGCAGTCGAGGTCAGCTGGCGTTGACCTGATGAGACACAATTCCTCTCCCGCTGATTCCCTGCTGTTGGCTGGGCGATTGTCTCCTTTGAACGGTTCAATTACTGGCAGCACAGGTCCGAATTCATAGTTAAGCCGTAGAAAAGCAGTTCAAAGTGGCTTAACCCTTGCCCATCCCATCAAACATACAACAAATACTTTTAGATCATCAATTCTGACTTGTGTTGGATCACTGCGACCAACCGTTTTCATTTGATGTTACTATAAGTAATCCACTTTTCATAATCGGTCTATTCAGCAGCGATTCCAGTCCTTTCAATTGGCTCCAAACTGTTTTTGTGCATTATACAGCTCTTGGTCTATTGAATTAGTACTAGCATGTTGATCAGACTCATCACCTCCCACTATTTTATCAACAGTCACCATTCAAATTTCCATTTTCATTTTCGTCTTCTTCGAAGCAGGACCGTAGTATTTGCTGATATCCATTCCTGATGAGCGCTCAAATACTACTGGCTTAAATGATCAACAACTTTTTTAATACGAAAATGCAGATATAATGGATGACTCTCAGTTTAAATTGATAGCTAAATATAGAAAAGGGGAAATTGTTTTACGATGTGGGAAGAAAGCTAAAACCGGTTTGCCTTCGATCAAATCTTTTACCTTAAGGTTTAAAAAACGATCGTGAAGAACAACGCACTATCGTTTCAGGAGCTGTATCATATATTCTTTATATTTATTATTCCTCGGCGCTTAGATAAAAGCCAAATCTGTATATTCCAGGAGCGAGAAAGAAACATTTCAGTATCTTAATATATAAAAAAAACCGTGTCCGTATGTGTGTTACGAAATAACTCAAAAACGAGTCAACTGGTATCCATGAAAGTTGGCATATATGTACATATATAAATTAATGGTCTCATTAGTTAATAATTAATACAAACTGAACATCAACGTTGATTGTTGTTATTAATCGTAGGTTTCATAAGTCTGGAACGGATGATGCCTTAAGCGAGTTTCTTTACAGAAAACTGTAAATCATTGTCCTTTACACCAGAAATATGGCGGCACACCTTAAGTGTCTGATTTTGCCTATAGCACGTAACCTCGGCTGATTCCCAAGTTACTATTGATGCGATGGACAAAATATGAAATTATTGTTGGGCGTAAAAATTTCGCAATGAAACATCCGCCATGTGGAAAGGTTGTATTGTCACCACATCCTACTTTACCTGAACCTTTAAGATCCCTTCTTTCTGGCAATTTAAATGAATCAAAATTATTTTTGCGCAAGAGGCGAAAATTTAATTCTTGTCGTTTGTAGCATCCATCATCATCATCTGATCGCCGTAATTTTGAGACAACACTCAAAATACAAGGCAAGGTATACAAAGACTAGACAGATTGACAAAAATTACTATTTGGGTACAAAATTAGATTGTGGGTGTGTTTTTATTTCGCAGTTGGGATTTTGAAGCACTTGTCGGACAGCACTGTAAGCCAAATTTGAGCTTAGCGGATGGACCATTTGAGGTCCAGTCACGGTCAACATTTGCCCGAAATAAACTTCAAACATCGATTCAAATAAAGATTTTTGCCCATAGTATGTAAAAGAAATACATATATGCATCAAGGCATATACCGAATTACAATTGAGTAGCTTTCGCAACTGTACAATGGTGTATTTTTTTCTTTTGAATCAATCAAATAAATTGTCGGAATTGGCCAGATTGAACGACTATAGAATATACTATACGACCGATTAGTTCAAGTGTGAGGTTTTGGCTCAAAAAACGCATCAAAAGTAGCTCAAGGCATGAAATTCGGTAAACTACACACGTAGATACAAAAAAACTGACCGCAAATCATCTAATCCCCTCCCATCAATTTTTCAGATACGAGAACTCATATTTAATCCTAAAATGTAATACTGTTTGATACGGTCTTGATAAAAAATCACCCTTTCAAATATATGTACAAAGCATTGAAGTTATAGAAATTTGCTCTCAGTAAAAAGATTGTCATTCACATCTCTAGTGTAACCACGATTCACTTGCTTGCTGCTTTGGATGCACTACCCATGACTATTATCAAAGTGTGCATTACCATAGCCAAATATAAATAACGAAAGTAAAGAAGTCAGCTGAGTTATGACACATTTTTATAATATTTAGTTTGCCCTACACTTGTAGCGGTGATATCACGTTCGAAATTCTTATAGATAAATGCCGAGTTTTTCGAATATACAATACAATCAGGCCAAGCGTATTCTTATCTTATCTCACTTGACTGCAAGCAACTGATAAAAAGGTGAGCGAAATGAGCACAAATATATATATATATATGTGTTAAAGAAAACTGTTGACATAAAATGACGTTTACATTCTTACATCCAAAACCAGTTTTCGTTACTATAACGATGTTTTGTTAAATAAAGGGCCTTTTCTGAGACGTGTGGCTTTTAATGAGTAATTTTTTTTTTTTTTTTGACGTCCGAATTTTTTTTCTTTGCGTACCGACATTTGTAACTCCAGAGTTCAAGTTGGGGTTGGAAGAACAACCAAAATTATAGAAAACTAATTTCCGCGGTAGCCGAGGGGTTAGCATTGCGTGCGACCAACATCCAAAAGTTATAGAAAATTATTTTAAATAAAAAATTAGCTAAATTTTCTAACTGCGGTCGCCGCTCGGCAAGGAATGTCAGCCCCTCCAAGTGTAATTCTGACAAAAATTCATAAAAATCCATCGGACGTTCGGAGACAGCTTATAATAAAGTAAAGTCCTTTTATTTGTTGGGAAAACATCGAGACGCATACCTCACAGCTTAGTTTGCCATATCATATTGAGCTGATTTACTCTGGAACAACGTTTGAAAATCGTATAAATTTATAACCTGTTACCAAGAGATATTTTGGCGCTGCGTTCAATATTCGGTTGCCATAAACACTCCGGCCATAAAGTTATAGTAAATGGTGAACGCTGCAGAGCCATGATTAATGACTTTTTCTTATCTGAATTGGAGGATTGTTTACCATATAGCCTACAACGTAGTGCGCTTTAACACCGCCGGACTATATTTTGTAGGGTTATCCGCAGATAAGCTCGAGTAGTAGCCGAAAGTTGGGCTTGTCGCCTAGAAATTATTTGAGCCAGGTAGTCACTTGGCCGAAATAATTTAAAGGTATAATGACAAACCTTATCTTTACAATAAAGCTGAATTCTTGGCCATAGCATTAAATATAATATATATTTTTTGTGCTTTGTACCCGCTGAAGAGATACTCAGCCCAGCTCCACCTCCAACTTGTGGTTTTGCGTCTTAATGTTTTTCCAACAAATGAACCCACAGTATATACTAAGCCGCCTGCGCACGGCGGATGCTTCTTTATGAGGAGCTTTATTTCAGTCAGAAATACACTGCGACGGGTTGACATTCCCTGCCGCGTGGTAACAACAGTTAGAAGCTTTAGCTTAATTTTTGATTTAAATTCATTTTCTATAATATTTGGATATTGGTCGTATCATGATTTGAACCCTGGCATTAAATTATCTGAAAACTAAGATGATTAAAAAAGTCTCCCCAATGTAGCAGCAATGTTTTTACTCTACTCAAGTCGAGTATGGTTAAAGCACTTTTAACAAAAGCGGGTTAAACTGTTATAGTATTCGGCTTACCTACCTGGAATTAACATATATACAAATTAATAGAGTGCACATCCAGTTGTTAATAACGTTAATAAAAACGATACACTGTAATGAAAATAAAACTAAAAGCTGAAATAATTTTTATATATTAATTAAATTAAAAAATAAACTGAATTAAATAACTCAAATTATTCAGTTTTCACTGTAATTCATTCATTTCAGCGTTTACAAACTAACTTTTCTCTTATCAGCGGCGTACATAATTTGTTTTGGTGATTCACTTCACAAAGGTATCTGCTTCTGCCAAACACATGCCCCTCAGTACAATTCGAACAACAAAGCTGCATGGAGCTAAAAGCAGCTCCAGTAAATAAGTAAAGGCAAATAATGTCTCCATAACTCCATAAATTGCTTCAAATAATTAAATTATTTTGAAATCCCATGCTGTTTGTGGCAAGCATGTGGTATTTCGGTGTTAAACGAATTATTTTATTTTGGACAACAATTATTGCCGTTATGGTGTTAATGCCAAGCATTCAATGCAATCCACCAAAAGTGTGTCCAATTTATTGTAATTGTGATTTATTAAATAACCTCAACCATGCGGATTGCAGGTAAGAAATTTGAGAAAAAAAAAAACACTAATAATAAAATAATAAATAAAATATGTAACTAAGATGTGGATCTGCGTAGCCTCTTATGTACGCGTCTGTATGTAGAGCTGAAACTGAAATAGATCCATACATTTCACAATCAAACTAAATCACCTGTTGCCTAGCATAAGTGTTTATATTGTATTTATTTGTGTGTAGTTGTGTTGACTGAAATATATTTACATATAAATCGATTTGTCATTGACAATTTAAGCTAAATGCATTGATCGACGGAGTTTTGTAAAAAAAAAATATTCGGTATAAAAATTAATTCGGTCCGTCATTTTTTGTTTAAAAATGTATATTTTATTGAATCTGTTCTCAACCCAATCATTGAGCCATTCTTCGATTTCTTCACAATACCCGAACCGGTGACCCCTAAAAATCGTTTTTTATCCATCGAAAAAACCAGTAGTCGGAGAAAGTATGATGTGCAGAATACGACAGGTGGGATAAGATATATCATTTCAACGTTTCCAGGTAGCTATTGATTATTACCGCCACATGGTGTCGAGAAATGTCATGTTACAAAATCACCTTGTCAAACTCTTCGGTCGTTTCTGACCATTTTTCATGCAATACACGCCTCAAACGCATTTGTAGTCAATTTGCCTGGGCATATCATATCATTGTACACCGCACCTGTCCCCTATCTATCGTCGTTGTAGACAGATGGTAAAGTATTTTTTAATCTTGGAGTTATCTCATCTCCATTAGCTTTCAAGAAACAGCTCCGACGTGAAAATTTGCCTTTTGACATTGCGTACTAAGAGTTCGGAAGGCTCCGGTTCATATTCCGGTGCCACCAGCATCCAAAAGTTATGGATAACTAGTTTAAATACAAAATTAAGTTAAATTCTCTAATTGTGGCCGTCCCTCGGTGGGGAATGTCAACCCCTTCGAGCGTATTTATGGCATCCATCAGCTGTTCGGAGACGGATTAGTAAAAACTCATATGGAAATGAAAAGTATGCAGGCCTCTCTATTAGGCTACTCGACCAGACCGTCAGTCCAACTAGTTGGATGCCTTAGTGGTCTATCCAAGTCTGATAAAAGCAATTGTTACATAGTGTCAAGCTAATTTTTGATAGGGCCATCTTGGGTGCCAAGTCCGAGCAATCGCTAGTCACTCCAAACCGCAAAATTATAAGAGAAATCTTGAATCGTTGTTACAAGAGGGGAGAGGTGTAGGAATACCGCTTTCGCTACAAGTATTTATATCGCGTAAGATCGGAGGTTCTTCTTTTTTGTAACAAAAACCCAAGCTGACGCTTTTTTTCCAACTATGTGAAGGATGGCAAAGTAGAATCTTGGCATTTTCTTCTCTACTAAACGGATTTCGCCAGACTATTGTTAAAACACATTGATTATCATGGCTTTTATTAATTGGCTTCTAATAATTCCCAGAAATGATATCATTGGATAATGTTTTCGAGTCTTTCGAATCTATTCAATTCAAAATTCAACATTTATTAACCTTCTTCGCTTTATTTTCAGTGGAAAACGTTTAATAAGCGCAAATTTTGATGTGCCCTACGAAGTGGAGTCCTTAAATTTAAGCTTCAACGACATCACCATACTGGACAATAACTGCTTTCAGGTAAGCGGCTCAATGAATTTCTTAAAACTACTAAATCATCTTATTTACTGCCTTACACAGGGTTACGTCTATCTGCTCAACTTAACCATCGCACACAATGCCATACACACAATCTTCCTGGATGTCTTCACACATATGAAACGCATACGCGCCATTGATCTCTCACACAACCGTCTCGAAAACCTTGATCCACGACTTTTCGAATCAAACCGCAAATTACACACACTCAATTTGGCCGTCAACAAATTTATGATTCTGCCTGATGAGCCACTGTTGCACAGCAAATCGCTGCGCAAGCTCAATTTGGCCAACTCGTTGGTAAATGTGCTGCTACCAGCACACTACAGCGCTTTGCCACAATTGCAAGAGCTCGATTTGTCAAACAACCTAATCATCACCATAGACGAGTTCGCAGCGAAAACCCCAAAGCGACTACACGCGCTGAGTTTGGAAGAAAATAATTTGAACTGCGATCAAACACTGCAAACGGCCTTGGAGCTGTTGAAGGCGCGAAATGTGGCAATTGAGTACAGTAACTGTCGCGCGGCGACTGTCGACCCGACCGATGCAAACAGCATTTCCAGAAAGTTCGAGCGCATAGAATTAGTAGATGAACATTTTCACGAGGAGGGAGGGGTTGCCGAGGATGATGTGGGTGATTCACAAGAGGATTTCGATGACGCCATACGCCGCGGCGATCTCGCCGGCTGGCATTTTTCAATTGCACCAGACAATGAGGACGAAGATTACTACACAGATTTCGATGTGGAAGAGCACGAGAAGAACGATCAACCGCCAACAAGCAGCGGTAACGGAACAATTAATGAAACGTGTCGCCTTTGGTGTCAGCAATACAGCGACAATACGGTGTACCCCTCATCTATTTTCAACGGCGGCTTCAACTCCAGCGCCAAACTTTACACAGATTTCGATTTACTTTTCGTTTTTATTTGTGGCATTGCAGTTGGGATTGCGCTGACCATCTTTATCGGCAGCTGCATAATCTGCATCTGGCGCTGTTCATCTCTGCAAGCCTCAAGCCCAGGCATTGAAGATCCATACGATATGCATTATGCCGCTCCAGTGCAGACGAGACAACGGTCAGTAGCACAGCATCTGCCATCACATGCGCAAGTAGACGCAATTAGAAGACAGTCAGCGCACGATGCTCAGCCTGAGCAAGCCGAGCTACTGCCTATTGCAGCACCTCTACCACCACGTCGCCGTCAGCGGCGCGCGCCGTCCACACAACGCGCAGTAGTAAGACATGATCAACTTGCGCGTGCTGGCGGTGATAATTTCATTTCACGTCTCTTCGGTAGACCGGCACGTCATCAATACTATCGCACTATTAATGAAAATACAGCCACCTTGATACGTCATCTCAGTCGAAGCAATCTCTTCAGAAACCGTCAGAGTCAACATTTTGGTGAGCGAGAGAGCAATAACACTAACCAGTCTGCACCGAACACACCAGACAGTGTAGATGGCGCTAGTGTGCCTAATTTGGAAGATGGATTGGAGGGTTCAACTACTCAGCGTCGCCGTCCAGAGACACCGCCGCCTTTATATAGCGAAATAATTACGAAAAATTGTGATCGAAGTAACGCGATTTCTAATGACTGAATAATATCTTGCACGTGTTTAATCTAAAGTATTTGTAATATAATAAAAAAACCGAATCAAACTGTTGAACTGCTCAACTCTTCACTTTACCCATGAAAGGTCTACATTTTAAAGATTTCAATTTTGGTTATCAAGAATTGGCAAGAATCTACTTGCTCTCCTACCGAAAATATTAAGAGGCGTCAGAGACCAACTCCTTCTCTAGCAAGGTGGTTGCCAAGATCCACTAACAGAAAAATTAAATTTCCTAAAAAAAATTAGTAATATCCGAGTGGTCTTCATTGCGTACTATCTTTCGATAGTTCAAGGTTCGGGTAATGGTCTGAACAAAATTATAGAAAATTTATATTTTTTAACTGCGGTCGCCTCTCCGTAGTGAATGTCAAGCCCTCCAAGAGTACTTCTGACATGAAAATTAAAGCTCCTCATAAAAATCCTTCGGCCATTCGGAGTTCGCTTAGAATAAACTGTAAGTCCCTCATTTGGTTGGTTGTTGGAAGAATAAAGAAATGTATAAACAATAAAACATTGTATATACATACATATATCAATTTTTCGCAAAAATATTCATTCAACAAAATCAACTAGCCTGGCTGAATGAAGGAACTCAATGTGTACAAAAGCCCTTTGATCGGCAGACATTGCGAGGCTAAGATCGATTATCTTTAAATACACAAACCTTGCAGGCTTTATTCAAGAACAAGACAACCCCAGAAGAGTAAACAGTCAAACCTGCACTGAGTACTCAGTTTCCTCTAGGATCGCTTTTACCAATGAACCGATATATATACCGCTGCAAAGATACTATGACAATCAGGCGATTGGATGCCCTCATGGTGTACCCAAGGCTGATAAAAAGTAGTGCAATAGTAATAAGCTAGTTTTTGACAAATCCAACTTCTGTGCCGAAAGCGAGCTATCGTTAAGTATCAAAGTATTAAGAGAATGGTCGTTCTTGAATCGATATACTCGTAACAGGGCAGAAGACATGTAGGAATGCTACTGACCCTTTGTCCACTCTTAGATAGATGGACCTAATATCATAACGGCAAATTCTTGGCTTCTGCTAGGATGTGCGCAAGGTATTTCGAGTTAAGAGCTTCTCTCATTCAGACATATTTATTTACATACCTCTTGATATAATTCTTCGCCGAGGAGATCTGGGTTCTTTTATTTTTGGAACCAAAGTAATACAAGAAACTGTAGTTAGAACCAATGCCTATGTAGAAGATATTGCCGTAATATATAGGGATCAACTCCAATAAATTCCAAGATGCTTTGTGGAATGGAAAATTGGTAAATAATGGTTGTGATATGGACTCTGTGGCAACTCAAATTAGTTAGGAGGAATTTGTTTTTTTTTTTTTTTTGTTCATTCCCCGCGCGGATAATACTAACATCTGATGAGTGTTCGTAAAGTTTTTCGACCAATTTATGGTCGTTTGTGCATTGGCAACGACGAATACTGCAGGCGACGGAGCTATGAGCTGTATGATTTCAGTGAATGAAGAGACTGAGGCAACGCTGGCTTGGTCATGTAGTCCGGATAAGAAAGTTTTTGATGGAGTACCTGCTTGTGGAGGCAAGAGAGCAAGTGGCTATAATCGCATGAGCCATAGTCTGTTCATAACTCTTAATAGATGTAGAAGAACTCTTGCTAATAAATGAGGCATATGAGCAGAATATATCACTGGTAAGACTGTTCTTTATGTTCATGTATGTCTTGGACACAATACTGCTCAGCAGAAATGGTGAATTTATTAGCACTCGACAACCCTTGAAAGGTACACTTTCATAACCCTCATATCAGTGAAAAGTATAGTGCGACCTTAATCTAACCAGTCTCAGTATACTGAATTTCCCTTTTGAACTTTATTTTACAAAGTTCTCTGAATCGTCCATTGAATTGATAATAAATCTGGTCAAGGCATCAATTGTTTTTGCATTAAAAGTAATGTTTTTCAACATGATTAGAATCATATCTTTAAAGCCCAGCACCGCTTGGTGGAAAGACTTTTTACAATTTTGAAGGTAATGTCACTATGTTTCCCTCAAAGAAACCCTTGTCCCTATTAGCAAAAAAAAATTTAGACAATCGATTTTTAGAGACTTCACAAGGCAAATCATTTACCATTGACAGGATCAAGACCAAGCTGTCCAACCTTCTGGTAAGTCACCAAACACAGAACAAACCCTTTCGGAAGGTCAATTCTGGCTTGGAGATCGTTTGTTCCGGCTCACTGCCCTACCACCTGGTACAATACCAGACTCATAAACACGGACTGGCTTACGGTGTCGCCTTTATTGAAGAAAAATTGTATAATGTAACATATTTTCTCGTTGCTGGTGACTATCTGTGACAAGCGCTCAAGCACTATTTAGTTAAGTGAGCAGCACTTCTCTCTCGTTATATTTCTTAGTACAAAATATTTTCTTTCAAACCCCGTCTAGCGTAATTCAACCTCACTTATAGAGCGCGAGTTCAGTAATGCCACCAATGCAAAAATATGGGATAATTTGGCTCAAACAGGCAGAGAGTGAATAGAAAACAAGCATGAGTATATATATGTATGTATGTAGATCTCATTGAGCTCAAAACCGCAATATAAACAAAACAAAATATTGTTAGACTTTGTCTTTAGATTTTGTATTTTCCATTTAAATTTTTATTGGACATTTATACATAACATTCAATTTATCAATATCCGTACGCGACATGCCCAAACGCTGACCAATCACAGTGTCTGTCACCTTCAAAGGTATAATTGTGTCTTCACCATTTTTAGAGAATGCCTTAGCACTATAATGCAAGACGCTGCCATAATCGTATTCTGTGTCAAAATCACTAACTACAGTTGCATCCCTTTTCTTGAAATTCCCCTCCTTACCCTCTTTTATGTTCTCCTCTGCTATTATGACAAACTCATCGCGATTCCAAGTGCTTTGTTGATGATGAAAACCGAGCGAATGTAGCAGTTCGTGGATAATCGTGCCCAAACGAAAGCAACCTTTATCGAGTGGATCAATTTGTAGGTTTACCGTTTGCAATTTGCCGAGGTAACCGACTTTACTGTGACAGCCGGTGGGCTCGCCGATTACATGGATATACGTTTCGATATCATCCGGCGCTGGTTTAAATTGTATGCAAGACACCTCTTCAATCATTTGCATGCCGCGCAAAATGTGTCCGACATGCGCGGCATCTAGAAAGTACTGACGGAGTTGAAATATGTGTGTGAGCAGTAATTTTGGTTTGTTTTCTTACCGAAAGTTTCGTTTATTCTATAGTAGACAACATTATTTGGCCAACGTTTGCTTTCCGCAAGCAATCCATTGCGCTCTTCTTGCTCTATGTCCATGTCGCCTTCATAGAAACCGCCTGATTCTTCATGTCTGTCCAAAACTTCATCTTCACTCAGTTCAAAAGGCACACAAAGGGCGCTCACAGCGAAGTAAAGAATGAAAATTACAAGCGCGTGCGAGCTCATTATGTCTGGGTTCAACTACTGATGAAGTCTCAATGAATAGTTGCGTGTGCTTTGTGTAAGGAATTTCTTTTTTTGTATTTTTTTTGTTTTAATCTTTTCGCTTAACTTATCTACGTGTAGGCTTTTTATGTAAGTAAAATACACTAGCAATAAATTTTGGCATTAATGAATTCAGATTATCGGTAATTAATGCGTCCAATGAAAAAATGAAAATGCTCGTTTGTTGTTAGTCTTAAAGTCAATAAATTGAAAAAAAAAAAACAAACAAGAAAGAAGTGATGTCCTCGGCCATATCGGTGTATTTTCATGACCATATCAAACTCGTCGTAATTCATTTTAGGCTTAAATATTAATTCTCATTCTAAAAAATTGGTTGGAGGGGGCTGTATATTGAAGTTTTCCGATTTCGATGATTTGCGGGGACATTGTTGGTTTGACGGAGTTTCGACCAGAAGCCTTGGGTCTGAAAAAATCTAGGGTATGAAATTGATTTTCATAGTGCGTCAAATCGCTTCTTCATTTCGTCATTTCATATCTATTGCAGACACCAAGTTCCTTCTGAACCTAATCTTGCCAAAGAAGACTTGAGTTTCCTCTTCCTCAGTTTTCACCACTAAGTACTGCATGGACGACATGACCCAGCCAACATAAACGTTGCCTCTTTATTCGCTAAACTTCGTCAATTTCGCTGTAGATTTTGTACAGCTTATCGTTGCGTTGTAGGCGGTACTCGCCATTGCCAATGCGCAATAAAATACTTCCATCGAATGTCGGTACCATCCACGCTTCTACAACAAAAATGATGACGGTTATGATGAGTGCCGGATGGAGTTTGGCATTTGCTCTTCGAGAGAGGATTTTATATTTGAATTGCTACTCGAAAATGTTGTCAGCAAAAGTGGTTCTGTGTTGGGTTCATGCTGGTTCCCAAGTGAACGAAAATTTCTACAAATCCAAAGTTCTGATAATCCACAGTACATTGGAGCTTAAAAGATAAATACTACTTGTTTGATGGCTGATCATATTATAACCTGTCCTCGTTCACCATTATACCGATCAGCTTCACTTTAATATCCAGTCTGATGAAAGCATTACAAAGAAGGCTATTTCTGAAGTCATACGATAAAAAATCGCCTCGTTTGAAAACCCGCTAGACCTTGCACTGCATAGTGGCTTGGAATATATATTTTTGTACGCAAGGAGAGCAGTCAAATTGTCTTGGGAAGACACTGCATTGGCTTAGTAATCTTATGTTAAAATTTATTGAGAGCATCGGTTCTATAAAGGGATTTGGATGATCGGCGTAAAGGTCTGGAACTTTCAAATGAAAGCACCGCAGCGCTTCTTACATAAAGTTTCACAAAGCAGGAGATAATGCATTAAAATTCAAAATATAAAAAACCACAATACTTCACTTCTTTTTCTTCTTTTTTACTTTATAACTTTGCGTCCTTCACTTCTATTTTTCGCTGTTTTGCGCCAATCGGAGATATCAAATAGAGCCAAGTCCCTTTCTACCTGGTCTTTCCAATGGACTGGAGGCTTTCCCCTTGCTCTGCTTCCACCGGCGGATACTGCATCGAAAACTTTCAAAGCTGGAGAATTCTTATCCATCAAAACCACTTGACCTAACCAGCGTGGCCATTGTTTCTTGATTTACTATGTCAATGCCATCGTTTCTCTCGTACAGTTCATTGCTCAATCGACTGTGGTATTTGCCGTTCCCAACACGTAGAGGAGCATAAAACTACAAAAAAGAAAAAACCACAATTTCACTGCCTATAGACATCATCATTCGCAAGGTTGCAACACGCTGTGCTGTCAGACTGTTAGATTGGTAGGAGTGACTTTCTCGGAACCAAAAATGTTTTTAGGTCAGATTTTCCAGATTGTTCAAATATGAGGTTACCCTCCAGAAGGGAAAGAGAAAAAGTTATAGTAAGGGAGGAACATGCCGACGGTTTCTATCCTCAAGTATGTTAACGCCTATTCCTTTTTGAGTCTACCGATCGATATTTTAGACTTAAAGAGATCCTACATGAATAACTGCGCGAGGCTATAGATAGCAATTTAAAAGGACGATCAAGCGCATTAGTAACTAGTAAATTCCAGTAATGTTAAAAATTCTATGATTGCCAGATCGCTGGGTGGTCAACCCAGTACCAGGGTTTATTATTGTTTTAATGAACGAGTAAGCTGAGGAATTGGCCACATATTATTGGACGAATTCGAAGCGGAGTTAATGACGTGAAAAAAATAATAATTAGCAAACCAGATTTAGCGCTAATATGACTAAGAACTGTTGTCTTCTTACTTCAGAATGCTTTATTTCTATTTGCTTATACATACTAGATCTATCAAAGGGCTCTAATAACTAATTATGTTAAGTACTAAGACAACCCTTACACCAGATTGTACTTTTAGTGCTAGGTTCATACTACTGGTATAGTGAGGAAAAGTATATCATAAGCCGTACCCTCCACTGTAAAGTATATATCTAACTATATTCCTATTGAACAGGACCAGAGTTTGACAGTTATGGCAAACACTGCAAGTGTCAACATTCAATATGTAATAGTATGGTTTTTACTCTTTCTTTCTCCGCCATTAATCCATTCGTTTATAAAATCAGATCAACACGAATGACTGGCCGCGTTATATATCTGCCTCACAGCGACCTGTGTAATTTTAATTAATATGCAATAAACCGGAATTTATAATTACAAATAGTTTTCTCTGATTTTTCTTGTATTATGACTCCAAATCCTTGGTGTATTTACCACAACTGCACCGCCTTTTTATCTGTGTCTGACGGTATATATAGATTTACAGACATAATAACTGGACTTTGTTCCTTTGAAGTACATGCGTCTAAAGTGTGTCTACCCTATAATAGCCCCAAAAAAAAATATGTAACTCAACGGGTACCAAACCTTGAATGAATGTCCGTAAAAAGTTCATGGATTTATGTACTTTCCTTGAGAATATCAAGCGGTTTGACCCCAACCGAACCGGAACTAAATTTTTTTCGGACAGCACTCCTACCCACGTATCCTTCTTTAATTGATTTGTTAGCCTGATCTAATCTTATACAGTGTGTACTACTATTCGTGCTGTTGGACTGATGTTCACGATAATCATTATGGTGAGGTCATCTTCATCCCGGAATGTTGTTTAATAAATTCACCACCCTAGCCTCATAAACGGTGTTCCTTTAAACATGTACTTTTCAATATTTATATAATAAAAAGGCAAGACTTTGTCATTTTATTTTAAAAATAGTTTCGGGTAAATGACAGACGTGACTGTCATGGCTTTATAGCGTTTCCCATTGAAAGTCATATTATAGCCAGCTTAATTTTTCGTGAAACATTGGAACAATAATTCTTTTTGCCTAGCAAACCACACAGCGCTCTCTGGATGTTATAACAGCGTTTCAAAAATGGATTGTGGATTATCAACAAACCAAATACGACAATTTTTTTTACGCACTCAATCTTGTTTTAGTTCCAGTCGCCAATAGTCCGACGCGCTCGATGGTCGTTCGGCTCTAACTTTTATAAGCCTGCAAATCGAGATCGTTCCACAAAATCTTCTTTAAAGTGGATGGGTTTAGCTCCACTTGTTGCGTGACGATGAATGGACTCATTCCGGTCTTCTTCAGTACTCCGAACCACAGCAGTAAGAGCGTCATATGTGCGGCATCTCATAGGATACGCATTATCCACTAGAGTAAACGTGGTTCGAAACCGGTTTGTGATTGCTTGAATTACCGACTTTGCTTGGTAATTGTCTCTATTATTTTGGCAATAAATTTTTTACGATCTGCAAACGATGCTCCAGAGTTAGTCTGCTCATAAATAAAAAGGCAAACCGAACTGAGTAGAAATCAAGTAACAGCTATTCAAAAGACCAACACCGTTGAAATCCACGCTTTCAAAAGAGAAAACCTTTACAACTTCCAAACTCTTTTAGAAAATTTTACACAGAACCGGCTTCTGTAATTTTGTTCTTGAACGAACTTTCTTATGAAGACTCAAGTGGTTATCAGTACCATATTTGGCCGGCCTTAGCACTGAAAAGTGAAATATTTCTTCTTCCCATCAAGTATCCTAACCAAAAGTATGTTAAGTCATTGTGTGATGGTATGCACCATTTGTACAGTTAACACAACGTTATATGCTTAAGATTTGTAACTTTTCTTTTAACTCGTATTTATCTCATCTCGCCACAGGTTGGGATTATGCAAAAAGTTTTTCATCATACATTTTCAAGATACTTTCGTACAACTTGTCACATACATCCATACATACATACATACATACATACATAAGTACTCATATAAACTTACAAACTTATTTAACGAAAAAGAAAATCTGCTCACTTTTTATTTTTTTTTTATTTTTGTAAAGTAAGTCCTTAAGAAAAGTCAGTCACACAGAGCTATTGAAATGTACATAGAAAAATAAATATATGAAGGAAGACAAAGCTCGATGCTGCTTGCTGCTTGTAATGCGACAAATTGATGGCAATTTTTTGTCACTTTTTCCAAGATACCAAATTCGACTGACTGCTCGAGCCAACGATGATTGCGGTGGCCGAAATGCAACACTGCGCCTTAATACCGCTCTGCCCCACAAGGAATTGAAATGTTGAAATGTTTTGCACTGCTGCGCTTATTTTGCCGCCCAACGCAGTAAATTCAGTTTTCTTTGGAGCGTGTAAAGTTTACTTTTTGAATTTCGCTTTTTTGTACTATTCGCCGCCAGATTTTCTCTGTTTCCTTGTTATATGCACTCTCCCTGGCGGTGAGCTTAGTTTCTTCACCACAACTTTTTCTACTGTTAATTTTTGTATGATACTTTTTTCATTTCCTCTCTTTGCCTTTTTAAAAGATTTCTTGTTACTTGAAAAGTATAAAAAAGTTTGATAGTTTGTACAAGTTTTTATTGCACATCGATGGCAGAGCCGAAATCCTCTGTTTTCACTACGGATTTGTGTGGTATGTACATACACATGCGTATAC